ATCATGTCCAATTGATTAGAAAGAATCCATTTAATTAATGGAGAAAAGTTTCTTCTTTCAACTTGTCGCAATTTATTCATTTAATGACTCATTCAATTTTTCCACCATAAATTTACAAGCATCATTATTCATGAATTGTCAACCAACTGAAAGTGTTTCAATTTACTTTTGAATCGTTAATTTTGCTTGTTCAATCAATAAAAGGATAGATGAGAATAAACGAGAATAGAAAAGGCCAGAAAATTGAAATCAAATGAATCGAAATGCGATGTTCTGTTTGCCTTCTGGATACATGAGAAACATGAATTTTCGTCAAACACGAAGGTGAACATCGCAAAGCAGTCTGCTAGAAGCAATAAAATAAAGTTGAAAAGCAAATATTAATAATGAAAAGCGTCCAACTGTTATCATTTATTTCACCAATTTTTGATCGAAATGACTCAATTTCTCAACATTCTTCGATTTAGATTTTTCGTGATAGAACGTGTAACTGCAAGTGATCGATATTTCTCCATTTCTGCTTCGAGGTTGATATTGAAATGCAAATTCTGTGAACATTTTCTTTTCTTCTTTTTCACTTTTCTGATTTTTGCGTAAATTGTCACAATTGTAAATCTCAAGTGATTTCATCGTTAATCACTAAGATTAATTTTGCATTCTTGTTGCAAATCGACTTTCTGTTAGTGCAATTGATGGGTTCAACTTCGATTAACTTTTCAAGGTCAATCTATTCACAGATGAAGACTTAAAGGATCGTCGAGTTTGATTCTTATTGCACTCTTTTTATGCCTGCCAAAGGGCTTAAAAATTTCCAAAAAGACGAATCTTGTGCATTTTTGGTTGGACCAAAAACTGTTGCTATTTCATTTAAAAAACAGCTGAATAACGAATAAGGGATTTGTCACCTAATATTTATCGATTTTGCTCGTTAATCTATTCGGAATTTGAGAGATGAAAAGATTTACAAGTTTAGTAATTATTAGCAAATGTTATTCAGTTAGTCAATTGAGACTGCAATATTTTTATTAGGCAAAGTTTCGCTTCAAATCTCCTTTAATCTTTTCAGTCATCAATGAACATTTTATAACATTTTGACGGAAAATTATTCAATAATCTATTTTGGAAAGGCAGCTGACAAAGAAACTCAAGAATAAGCAGATTCTCACTGTATCGGCACGATCTATTAATGAGCTTGCAACGCGAACCACCTCGATAGAACAAATTCAGCGAATAGAATTTTCAATATTTAAAGTTCAGTTCTATTGAAACGTGAAATAGTCATTAAATGGGCGAAACAATCACAGTCAATCATATTGTCTGATTGTCTTCGTCAGTATGCGAAATACAGTTGAAACGAATTTCTCGAGTTTCGAAATCTAAATTTAGTCTAATCAGTTGACATTGCTGACCATTATTTCATCTTTCATGAATATTCATTTGAATTTTGCACAGTTTTCATCGAACAAATTGATTTGTCAATTTCAATCAAACTTGAATTGAAAAATTTGTTGCGATCACAAGTTGAAGAGAAAGATATGAATTGAAAGCATTTATAATAAATATGTATGAAATGAGACATTCTGATGACACATGTTGGTTCATTCGACCAAATGAATAGCCATGACATTCATTGACTAGATTCACCAATTGTGAGAAAAGGAAAGAATTGCAAAAAAAGATGAAACCATTTCTCTGCTTATTAACACATTTTTTTGCTCATTAATTTCGCCCACTTTTCTTATTGAACAGTAATAACGAACAAAAAGAGAAACTTCAAATTGATTCTGCAGACATCATGAATTGAACTTTTCTTGTGAAACAAAAATTTTCCAAATACTTTACAATAGCGAAAGAAGAAGAGAAAAGTTCGAAGTTGAAAATCAGGAAAAACTCTTGATAAGCAAAAGATGATTTTCACTTTTGTTGGAAAGTGAACGAGACTCAAACTGAAAGTCAACAATAACAAGGAAAACAAAGAGAATCTAAAGGACAGTGACAGATTCTGCCTGTTTTTGAGCCAGAGATTTTTCAATGCCAATCGATAGAGGACACTCGACTCTATAAGGAATGTTCAAAACCTTACAGAAAATTTCGGACCTAAGGCCGAAAAAACGCGGTAAAAAGTCGAATTTTTTAAACAGTATTTTAAATGAAAATAAAGGTTTTTAGTACTGAAAAAAATGTTGAAAAGCTTGAAAAAGCTGTTTTCAAAGTACTTTTCAACTTTTTATGTACAAATAGTGTCAATAATGATTTGTAAGTTGACATTATGCGTTTATAAGCCACATATTTGATTCGGTAATTGTGAATTCATACATTTTAAATGTTCACGCATGTTAAAGAATAGGCAGCACCGGGGTGAAAGTTGACAAACTCTGGAAATACGCGAAAGTCCGAAATGCCAATAACCAAACATAGTCCAGGTGAAAGGCCATCTGAAAAAACCTATAAAAATTGTGTCAAATCTCTGGCTCACGCATGTTAAAGAATAGGCAGCACCGGGGTGAAAGTTGACAAACTCTGGAAATACGCGAAAGTCCGAAATGCCAATAACCAAACATAGTCCAGGTGAAAGGCCATCTATAAAAACTTATAAAAATCTTATCAAATCTCTGGCTCACGCATGTTAAAGAATAGGCAGCACCGGGGTGAAAGTTGACAAACTCTGGAAATACGCGAAAGTCCGAAATGCCAATAACCAAACATAGTCCAGGTGAAAGGCCATTTATAAAAACCTATAAAAATTGTGTCAAATCTCTGGCTCACGCATGTTAAAGAATAGGCAGCACCGGGGTGAAAGTTGACAAACTCTGGAAATACGCGAAAGTCCGAAATGCCAATAACCAAACATAGTCCAGGTGAAAGGCCATTTATAAAAACCTATAAAAATTGTGTCAAATCTCTGGCTCACGCATGTTAAAGAATAGGCAGCACCGGGGTGAAAGTTGACAAACTCTGGAAATACGCGAAAGTCCGAAATGCCAATAACCAAACATAGTCCAGGTGAAAGGCCATCTATAAAAACCTATAAAAATCTTATCAAACCTCTGGCTCACGCATGTTAAAGAATAGGCAGCACCGGGGTGAAAGTTGACAAACTCGGGAAATACGCGAAAGTCCGAAATGACAACTACCAAACATAGTCCAGGTGAAAGGCCATCTATAAAAACCTACAAAAAGTCTATCAAATCTCCGACTCACTAACTTTCTTGCCAAATCTGGCAACTCCTTATACTTTAATACACAAAAACTTAGTTAATTAGCTAACGGAGTATTGTTTGCAAAAAATAAACTTAAAGGCATGTTTAATTATCGTTTATAAGCCTCGAATATTTATTCAAAGTTGTTATCTCGATGTTATTTTTTCCGACTTCCAAACGCGTTTTTCATGCCTTAAGTCCGCACTGGGAAATTTATGCCTGTGGGGACTTTTACTTGTTTATATGTCCTCTATCGAATGGCACTATCAAATAGCTGGCTCACAATGGGCAGTTTTACATAGGCTTTCTGTCACCCTCCTTTTTGAAATTCTGAACTTGAAAGGAAAGAGAAGAAAAAAGTATTTTTTTTATTGTTCAATCAAAAAAAAGTTATTGAAAAATCGCGAATCAGATAATGTTAAAGGAAAGGAATTTCATTTCAACTGAAAACACACATGAAAAGGGAATGAATGGAACAAGTTGAGAAATTTTCTTCCTCTTGTAAAATTTTCTATCATGATGGTAATGATAATCAGACAAAATGATACTGTAACTATTAGGACAATAAATTCAACTGATGATGATGATAATGAATTGGTAATATTTGGAACAAGAACAAAAGGCAAAATTCGAATCACGTTCAAAATCATTTTACGTTTGTTTTCAATTGACTTTGATCAAAAGCCAAAAAATCAATTCAATTACAATCATTACAAGATAATAACTGAAACGATATTTTTCAATCAACTATTTTGGTTCATCATTTTGATTGATTTTGACGAGCAATTGGATAAACATGATGGAATTTCGGTGGAAATTGTGAGGAGAAAATTTTTACCCAGAAAATGACTTTTCATTGGGAATTGATTCACTGACTAAGAAATGAGTCGATGAATAAATAGATAGTTATGTACATTTTGAGAAATGGTAAAACAATTGATGAAATATTCAATTGTATCTGGACGAAATGCGAACAAGAAAATGGAAAAAAAGGAAAAACAAGTTTTTCTACTTTGAGATTACTTTGATCTGATGAATCTTCATCATTATCATGATAAGTGGAAAATTTTGAAATGAAAATTGCATTGGAAAACAGTTGATCAAGTAATGGATGGTTCAATTGGAGGAATGAAAGGTTCAAGAGTAAGTTACATTTGCAACGAAAGGAAAGCGAAAGAACTTCAATATTGTGCTTTGGAACATCATCCATTGATTCATTGTGTTGTGCTTGTTACCATCAAAATATTTGGGCGATTGGTGATTCATGCATGTCCTCTGAAGGTCAAAGGCAACTTTATTCGATAATAATTTCTATCTATATTTTGACGCTTTTATAATCTCCGGTCAAGTTACTTATGCAAGAATAACCATTCTCGAGTCAATAAAGTTTGGATCAAGTTTAGCAATTTTTCATTTCCATTTTGACTTAATTACAATTGAAAAATGTCTTTATTGAGCAAATAATTTTTCATCAGGGAGTGAAAACTCCCAAGACTTGTTTTCTTCCATTTGTCTTGACCGTTTTGAGTAAAAAACTTTTCACAATCCTTTCAAGTTTTCTTAACTCCAAATGAATTGTAATATCTTCAAGACTCGAGTTTAATCACTTTTCATTTTCTGCATATAAATATGCTTAGAAATGTCATTCCCTGCTGACGAAAGTTTTGTAAGTTATCAGAGTGAAATTTTTTTCTCCAATCGAAACTTGAAGGAAATTCCAAGAAAAGTTATCAGACTTTTTTTTTTGTTTTTGTCATTAATTCGTTGCATTAGAATAAAAAAGTTTAAATGTGTACTTACTCGCGAGGCGATCTCAGTTTACCACAAATGAGCTTCTCTTGATAGGTTGCTGTTTGTTGAAGAGCAAAGTCAATCTCTATTTGCGGAACTCGCTCAAAGTTGGCTTCAATGGAAATTGGTGGAACCACCGAGATAACAATAATATCACTAACCAAGCTCATTGAATCAGAATCGAAGTCTTTGTCAACATTTTTTAAATAAATTTCGGAAATGCCCATTCCATATCGTCGAAAATCTGTCAATTATAAAAAGACGAAAAGGTCAAAATTTGAAACCCAAAAATTCGACAAAAAAAGTCGAAAACTTGCCTTCTAGAAAAATATTTGCTTTAGGTTTACTCGGTGAATGTTCAATTTCATTGCTATCATCTTCAGAATGCAACAATGAAATGTGATCTCCAAAAGGCGTTACATGGGTCAATGTTAGAGCTTGAATAACAAATGAAGGTTGGACAAAAGTAAAAAAAGTTGAGGTTAGTAAAAATGAAATTTAAACTTGAATAGAAAAGGGAAAAAAAGTTGACCAAAAAACAGATAAAGTTACAATTGTTGAATTGCGAGAGAGAAGAAAAGACTTTTGGAAATGTTTTTTTTCTCTCATTTGGTTATTCATCAAGAAGCGTGACTACAGTCAAGACTAGAGTCTGACCCAAAAGCCTTGCCTGTTGGGTCTCGAGTTTCATCAATCACGGTCATTTAGTCAGGTAAAGCTGCAACTACTTTAGACAAAAACATAATACAAAAAAACCTCTAAAATCATTTTTCATTGCCTTTTATTTCGTTAACTTTATTTAGCTTTGTTCGTTTCTCTTCAACTCTTCTTCCAAATGTAACTTTTAGCTACAAATTTCATCTTGCTCATCTCACCAGTCATCATCATCAACATCATGCTTCTTCATCTCTCCTCCTTCTTCAGGGTAACTTCAATTACTCTTTATTCTTTTTCTTTTTTTTCTCCTCTTTTCTTCCAAGTGTATATTCGCCTTCTTAAAAAGATAACAAGGATTTATTGCTTAATGGACCTTTACTGTTAGTTTATCTACAAGAAGAACCTTTACTTTTATCATGAATTTTTTCGTTTCCACTTTTGCCTTTTGATCATTCCTTTTTGTCTCTCTCTCTCTTTATCTTTCATCTCATGTCATCATCATCATCATCAAAAGCAGACTTGACGACAAAAAAATTCGCTCTTTTCCATGATCAAGGTTTCAATCAAAACAGATTTTCCCAAATCACTTTGAATAATCTTTCAATTTAAATGAAAAAAGAAAATTCTGCAAAAATTCATTTCTGAAAATTTAATCAATTTTAATTTCAGTTTCAGTTTCAGAGAAAAAAGAAGAAGAAATTAATGGAAAATCAATGTCAAAGATGAATTATTGTTATCCTTTTCATCGACATTATCATATGCATATTTATTATCTGTTTGGCCAATAAAGTTTTATCTGACAAACTGTCAATGGCAGAATCAGAGTCTCAACGAAAAGTGTGGAAATGAGGAAAAAAATTTCTATTCTCATCATTATTTGCAAATTGAAATTTGATATAACGATGATGATGATGATGATCAGCATGAATATTACCACCAACTATGGTGTTAAAATCAACTTAAAGTAAAGACAATAAAGATGGCAAAAAATGGATTAGAATAAAAATTTGAACTTTTTTCTCTTTTCTGCTTTTTTTCCCTGCAAAATTGGATTACATGAAGGCTTGGGTTCAGTTGAACTTACCGATGTTGGTTGTTATTGGATTGAAAGATTTAATTTGACGAATTGTTCCATCATTACAGAATACTATTAATGCTCGTAACAATGATTCAGAAAGTGATTTGAGTCCAAAAATAGTTTCAACCGATTTCATGGTTAGCAAAGCCTAAAGGTGGTGAGAAAAGGTGAAAATGAGAAAATGAATAGAAATGAATAAAAAGTGAATTTCCAATCAAGTTAATCAATGAATTGAACAGTATTTATTGTAATGAGAAAAAAGATATTTTTCATTTTTTCCATTCTTCGTTAGTAACATTTTCACACCTTGCTTTTACCTGAATAAGGTGCTACTTTTCACTACTTGATTCATTTGTGTTTAACCCAAATTTTAACCCGATTACAGTGAAAGGTTTCGAAGGCAATGATGAAGAGTAAAAATTGTTGAACATGAAGAAGAAGAAGAAGAAAAGTGAAAAAATAATCTTTCGTTTGTTGATCATCTAATCTTGAAGTAAAAGCTGAATTGTACCTCAAGGGGTTTACATATGAAAGATTCACTTAAACCTTATCATGAGTAAAGAGAGAAAAAATGAAAAACTTGGAAAAGTGATTTTTTTGCTCAGCTTCATTTGATTCCAACATTTTTCTTTATTCAACTTTTTTTTGCTCGCTGCTTTTTTTGCCTTTTTTGCCTTTTTACCCTTTGCCTTTCAACACCAACACCATCAACTCATCATGTTCAACTCAATTTATTGATTGAATGTGTTTAACAAGCAATCAGTAACACTTTTGTTTCCCTTCATCATCATCTTCATCTTGGTTTGATTTACTTTCCTTTGCCATTCTCTTTCAATGAACCCAACTGTTCACCAACCTTTTTTTTATTTGTAAGCAATACTTGGTCTCTTCTTCCCTTTTACAGTTACTATTCAATTTCAACCATTCTCATGAGTCTATTTATAAAGGTCATCAAGAGCAACTCAATCTTTTGTTTACAGTTAATATTTGTTATCACATTTTCACTTTCATCTTGCCAGGCTTGTTCATTCATTTTATCGTCATTTCTTTTCTTTACTCGTAAACTGTCTTCATGCTTTTCAATCTAATTTATCTTCTCATCAAATTCAATTTTCAGTGTAAAATAATTGAATTAGCCAGTGTAATTTACGTGAAAAAATGGAGAAAATGCAAGTTCAATCGAGTCTATCAAAGTTTACATTCATTATTAAGTGATATTTTGTCCAATAATTTAATTCTTTTCTGTTTAAATCATGTTTATTTCCAACTCCGAGAGACGTAATTACTCAAATTGAGTTATCACAATGAGCATTTTAAATAAGCTCTTAAAATAGTTAAGATTTCTATCGACAGAATTTACTCTTTCTAACAAATAAGTGACTTTTTTGACCATGTGACTGGAATTTGAACGCCATCTATTTCCGTTCTGGTGACCATATGGTTGAGTTAGGAAGTCAGTGAAGTTTCCTTTTCAGTGTTTTGTGTTGATAATTTTACAAAATGTCTGAAGTTACAATTGAACAAAAAGTGAAATTAATTGAATTTTACTTCACTTTGGGAAAATCTAAAGCTGCTGCCATACGGCGATTAAAGACAACTTTCGGTAAAGATGTCACTTGTTCAGATAGTACTCTTGGACGGTAAGTTATAGTTTTATAAAACCAAATTTTGAAATTTTTTCACATTACTCTTTTTGGTAAAAACTAACATGGCTCGTAGCTAATATTAATTTCAAATCATTTTCAGTTTGATTGATAAGTTTTTAGAGACTGGCTCAATGGACGACCGGAGACATTTGGGCCCTGGAAGAGACTAAAGTGCTACTACCAAATCCAAGAGAATCCATTAGGAGAACAGGTCGAATGCTTGAACCTGATCCGGCTTTTTTCGAGCTTTCCCCTTACATCTTTTCAGAATCAATAAGATATATCATTATATGCTGACTTTTTACGGAACAAATATTCATTGTTGCGTCTCAAAAAAGCCAAAGGATTGAGATGCCCGATCAAGTTTACAAAAGACGAATTACTTGAACTTTGTTTCATTTTCTTAATCTAAATTCTCAACGAAATAGATTGAAACAAAAATAGAAAAAATATTTTACTATTACGCCAGTAGAAACCTTTACTTTTGGCTATTTTAGTTTGATTGCTTCTGAAGGTCGTCCTGTGGACATTCAAAGGAAAATCTTTATCACATTGATTTTGTTCATTTTCAATTCAACATTTGCTTTTCTATTTTCAGTTGAAACCATAAGAACACCAAATTGAGATCCAAGCTTAGTTTTTTTTAGAAAACGATTTTTATCTTTTAACCAAACCATTCTTTGACATTAAAATTCATCATTTTCAATACTTTGACTGCTCGATATATTTTGATCACAACGTTTCTCTCAACCTTTTCATCAACTTGCTCATGAATTTTGAACATTTTCGGTCGAAAGTTTTTCTTGATAATTTTTTCCTTCAAATGTTTGGACTCGGAAATGCAATTAACTGTTGGGTTGATAAATTTTTTGTCTTTTTTTGCTTCAAAATCTAAACACTTTTTTCTGTGTATTAATCATGTTGACCTGTTTCTTTGTTGTGGATATTTTGTCAACAAAATTGGGAATTTTGAAAGTTACTTTTTGTTTACTTCAGATGGAAATGCTCAAGTTGTGCTCAATACAAGAAGCTGAAATATAAAAATTGAAAGATGAAAAAAGTCAACATTGAAAAGCTCAAGTAAAATATTGCAAGTATATTACTTGGATAATAGTTGAACTTGAACAATAAAAGGAAGAGGAAAAGAAAAGAGCAACAAGATGATGATGAGGATGATGGAACGTGGAAGAAGAAGAAAAACTGTGAAATAACATTTTGTTTGTTTGTTGACAAAAACATGTCCAAAATGTCAACTTTATCATGAAAAACTCAGCTTTCAAAATGTGTATTTTTGTCTGTTCACTTTTGTTGGTACAGACAAGAGTATCAAGGAGAAAAAAAGTGAAGCCTTGACAAAAAAAGTAGAGCAAGGAACAAGTGAGAAAAAATTGAGCAAAAAAAGCAAAATGTTGCTTGCGAAAGTAGTTGGAATAAAAAAGGTGTAAAAAATTTTACGACTCTTGGTGCACGTATTAATACACACTTATCAGCTTACAGCCAGATAACGTTCAAAGGCTGAAGCAAACAACTTCATAAAGAGTTCAACCTGTGCATTCATTGTCAGATGCAAACGAGCAAACTTATCAAAAAGTGAATCAAGTTGTAAAGATACGAAATCATTGTTGATTCACTTATTATTTCAGCGCATTTTGCATCATTATGGTTTGAGATTGAAAGACTTTCATAGCAATAGATTTATTTATTCGATTAGCTCAACAATTTTGGAAAATCGATTTTTTAAGAGGTCGATTTCTTTGCCGAATAATTACTTTGTGGCGAAGAAATGTGCTCATGGATATGGATAGTGAAACTTGGAGAATCTCGGATATCTGAACTAAAGTTTTTCAATCTACGGAAGCTCAAGCCTCAAGACCTGTAGCATCAACCTTGAGTTATGACTGCAAACAAGTGTAAAGATTATAAACTTGTCCTTCTAATCAAAGTGACTAAAGTTGATTTACTCTTGATGATCAATCTAACAAATGACTGTCTACTATTGGTATTAATAAATTGCTTATTTTATCATGAATATTAGTTTAAGATTCTAACCAAAGTTTAATATTTCAATCAATTCAGCGCAATCGGAATTTCGATGAAAATTGGATGAAAGGTAAAGTTGCGAAAAATCTTGGAATTGAAATGTAAATTGAATTTTGGACACAATTGTTTGATGGTGTTCAATGTGTATAATGATAAGGCAAATGAAAACATGAAACATGAAAGGAATGAAAGGTTCGACTTTCACCAGAAATTTTGATATTAGCCAAACCAAAAAGTAGAAAATAATGTGATGTGATTTTTTGGCAGAACATTTCTTGTTCTTGCTCTTCTTCATGGGTTTCCTTTGGGTTAGAGGATAATGGTTGAACAAAAGAAGGCGAAGGAGTGAGAGGAAAAAATGGAGATGCAATTTTGACAGAGTAACATGGAGTGAGTTTTTTATCCAGCAGAACAATAAATGGCAGAAAAGGGTTAAGAAAAGAAGTGAAAGAGAGTACAAAAAAAGAAGCTTGCAACACAAGATGTTGATTATGATAATGGATCAAGCTGATATGAAATGCTGAAGGAGCAAAAGATGAGGCAAGATTTGGTTGAAAAGGTGGTAATGATAATAATAATAATCTTGCTTGAATAGGTATTATCTGTATTAATAGTTTTTTTGCCTTTTTTCTTGCCTCTTTTTACTCCTTCTCACCTTAAGAAATGATTATTACCTTAAGTTATGATTTATCGTTTGAGATAAACTTTTATTCAACACTTTTAAAAGTGCATATTATTATTATCATCCAAAATGATTATCATTTTTTTTCTTCGTTGGTTCGCTTCTCAAGGTGGAGCTTTTTTATTGCACTTTGGGTTGAATGTTGAAGCTCCAACAATATTTCAACTTTAACCTCCTGTTCAATAACTTTACTCGTTGAGGTTACTTACATTTTTCTCAGTTTCCAACGGAAAGGCTAATGGAAGTTGAGTTAAAAGTTGCTCTGAACTTGAAATCAGTGACTGTAAAGAGAAGCGAAAAGAAAAGTTTAGTAAGTTTGGCTCAATTAGTTGATTAATTTCGCTCAAAATGGGCAGAGATAATTTGTTAATTAGAACGAAATTGGTGTGAAGATTTTTTTGTCAATTTCAACGATTTTTTTTCTTCTTCATGCATTCTCTCATGATTGAGTGAGTGATAATGACTGGAGATGAGCAAAGGTGAAAGTGATTAATGTTGAAGGAAAGGTTGTGAGACAAGTGAGACAAGATGAAAATGGAATGTTGAATCATATTTATATTATAACAGGGAATGAACGACGAAAATTGTTTAATTAACTGTTAATCTCTATTAATAATGTCAATGAGTCTTTTTTGAGCTCTGTTGCTTTTGTTGATTATCAACATTGTGCTCAACTGAAAATTGATACCATGTAATCTTAATCATCATGAGAGCTACTTAACTCAACATCAATCATTTAATTTGATATTGTGAGGTAGCAAGTAAAGAAAAAAATTGCAACAACAAACGAGATTAATTAATATTATGTTGCGTTCGCAAGAGAAAAAATGAACACTTATTAATGCGAAATGATTTTATTCTAAATTCTATTAGATTAATAAAATGCAAAACAGGGTTAACTTTTGTCTAGTTATAAAATGCAATTTATTCAATCAAATCGCAATCTTTATAGATATAATCAAGTATTCCGATTTTAGAAAATTATATTTTCTGCTGAAAGGGAAAGTCATACAATTTTCAAAATGTAAACTGTACTGAAACGGTATCACTAGGCAAAATTATCTGCATCAACACGATACACAGCGATAGGGTTTACTTTTGTTTGATTCAGCTTATTGAGTAATTGCAAGCGTCACAAATAAAACATAACTGTACTTCTCCATTGTTCGCACAAATTTTATGAAAATCCCGTATGCACATGTGGCATTGTAACGCTCGAAACTGTACTGAAGCGGTATCGTAAGATGATATCATTGGGTTTTGAGAAACACTTTTTTTGTACTAGCTCATTCATTGTGCTGAAGTGCTAACTCAATTGATTTCGTCTCCAACTAGATGTTAGACTAGTTGATCGACTTTTCAGCTTTATCTAGGTAACGTACGTAACTTTAAATACCTAACGCAACCTATTTTGCAGAAAAGAGTCAGAGTTTAAAAGTTCAGATGGTTGAACGATGAGCTGAACTTTAGCTTTTAAATTCTCAGTACCCTGCCCATGAATTATGACAGGCAAATAGCGTATCGAAAAAGAAACTTGGATTGTAAAAGTCAACAGACAGCACTTCTTGAATTAAAAGAATAGCTTCATCTATCCGCTTAAGTACAGTTCTGATCCTTCAAGTGAATCAATAGTTAAAACGAGATTTTAACAATTCAGTGAAAATGTAGCAGTTTTTTGATATTATTAATCACATTTTCAATTTTTAACCACACTGAATTAAGCTAAAAAGTAAAGTCACCGGTATTTCTAAATTCCGCATGACTTTAGCTTTAGACTATTTCAGTGCAGCTTTGATTGCGCAATTGGCTAAGTGTAATTTAAATCAAAAATACATGGTGCCGGAACTATGATAGCAACAACGGATCATTGAAATAGTGCTCGAATCTAACTAAATGGCAATAATTCTATACACTGCTTGATTAATAGTTGCTTTTAAATTATCACAAGCATATAAATATTAAAAACAAAAATGATTTCGATTTCTTACCATCTTAATTACATATTCGATTAATAAAATGGTGAATATTGCAAAAATAAGAAAAGAAAACTTAATTTCTAATAGCATTTACCTTGTTTACTAGCATCTTGCTAAACAATTTTTTTGGAACTTTAAGGTAATTATTTTAATGTTATGAGGATTGTTTTACTATTTTCATTTTAAGCAAATATAACAGCAATAATGTTGATAACTCCCTGAGAGTTGTTATTATAATAAATAACTTGTAATCAATTCTAAGCGACAGAGCTAACCAGGAATACATTTGAAAAAGTAAACAAAAGTGTTTATCGTTACTTTTTTCATTCACATCTCAGTTTAACCCATTCAAGTTGAGGCATTATGATGAATGGGAATAAACATATAAATATATATATTTCCTTCCCAGTTTTCATTCTTGAATGATAAATTGTAAAGAGAATTTTTGTTCAACAATTGACAATTGAATATAAATAGTAAAATGTGATATTTTTACATGCAAAACTCAAAAGCTTCCAAACTATTTACATTCAACTTGAACTTTCAACTAATCAAATAATATCATTGCAATCATTGGGATGAAAATAAATATGCAAAACATAAAGGATGTAAAGTGTTGTCCAAAAGGGATGATAAGGCAATAGTTACCTTGATAAAGAGCACATCTCGATCTTCATCGTCCAATTTAATTCGAAGTTTGGTTTTAAGGATTGAATTGAGGGAATCAAGAGCGTCCAGTTTATCCATTGGACTGTGAATTGGAAGAGCTGGTGATTGCAGTAATCGATTGAGTTCCTCTGCTAATGGATACAATCCATCAACAAGATGTTTATGAACATGATAAAATATCTGAATGAAAAGAAGAAAAAAACAGAAAAATGAATTTCTAATTTGCTTTGTGGCAGATTATTTCGAGTTTTGCAATTTCGACTTTGAATGTTTTCATAATTTATCCTCAAGGCATAATTAATATCATGTTTGTTGACTAGTTTTGGATTGGTTTTTTAACTTTTGCCTGTTTTGCTCTGCAATTAAAGTGAACATGAAAAATGAAAAGGCAACAAATTAGTTTCTTTTAAATTGCTCATTTGGTAATGAATATTAATTTGAGTAAAGATTAGCGAAAGCGAAATGTGAAATAAAACTTGCAAATTGAATCAATTGCAAGAGTCTATTATTAGGAAAAGATGAACATCCATTTACTCAGTTTAATGCAGCAATAAAACATTTTATATCGAATCTTGGATAAAATATGAAGCAGTAAAGCTTGTTCTACAAATTTAATTTCACCCAATACCCAACATTGAAAATCAAAGCTGAATCCAAAAAAGCACAATTTATTGCCCATTTTCTTCGAAAATTTCTCTTCGAGAAATGCAGCTCCAAATGAGGCTGGTTTTTTCGAAATGTGCAACCAACGCTTCGGCAAACTTTTGTGTAAGACTTTAAACAATCGATGAAATTTGTCAATTTCAAGCCTTCCATTGCTGACTATAAAAAAGTTACTTTTGAATGCAAAGCCGAAGCTAAGATTCTTCGAAAATATCTGCTTGAAGCACTTTACTGAACTTAGCTTTTCTTTTTTTTCGCTATTTCGCTAGACTCAGATTATGATCGAACCAATAAGTGATTTTCGTTGCTGTCATTTTTGGACAGATGATTCAATACGATCAGTTCGTTCAAACTCGAATAGAAGTCATATTAAATTTTATGAAAGTTTCTCGTTCGTTCGTTTCGTAAAATGATGCACAAGGCTTTGCTATGCATCTTCAAGTTATATGCTAACTTTGATCCTTGTCGGAGGATCACTGTTACTCAGTTGCTTATCGAAATGAGCAACAAACAGAATTAGAAATATTTTTTTTCGTTTACAAATTTTGCGTTATGGAACAAAACGATGCTTGAAGTTGTAGGAAAATTTATAAACATTAGTTATAAGGTTGCGAATAAAAAATGATTTCATGAATAATGTTGAATAAAATGAAAGAAATAAATTATTTGAAACTTTTGCTGATCTTTTCTGTATTTACTTTCAAATTCTGATGGAAATGAATTTCATAATTTTGTTGAACAAAGTTGCAGCTTGGCTGCCTGGTAATCTAATGCCCAAGTTGCATAGCTATTAAACTTTGGATTAAAAATTAAATTTTATGTTTGTATCACTTTTCACTGCAATTTTACATAAATAATTGAACATTTCGAGTTAATGAAAGTTGAATATTTTCAAAATTACTTTTTTTACTCGAAAGGAAAACAAAATTATAAAATCAAAATGTAATCAAATGATGAAAAGCACCTGCAAAAGTCATTGAATTTTGTTTCTCTACCAAAATCGAAGTTTCAATTTCAATGAATCATTAATGAAACAAAATTGATAATTATTCATATAACTTTACAACTTGATCCTTTCCAACCTTTCAAGTCGAATCAAGTTTTCCTCATTTCGTTTTGATGATTCATGACAAAAAGCAAATATAATTTACTCGTGAAAAGCAAATACAAATCAATGAATTGAAACAGACACTTGATGAACAAACAAAAGAATGAGAAAAAATTTTCATTTCAACTTTTCCATTGAAAAACATTTTTCCATGATTAAAAAATGAGCCCAAAGTTCAACAATCACAATGAGAGAGGAAAACAAATCTGTAAAAAAAAGGAAAAGGTAACAAAGAAAATGGAGCGAAAAGGAATAAAAACTCATCATGATGATGATTATGATTCCTATTGTATGATTATTATCGCTATTATATTGAGTTGATATTGTTGAATTGAAAGAGAACAAAAAAAGAGTAAAGTTTCAAGTTAAATTTATCGTTGAGATTCTCTTTTTTTCTCTCTTCTTCTAAAGTTGAGTTCTATAAAATTGAACAGTTATTCAGCTGAATTAATACCATGAATGAGAGGAGAGAATAAAAGTAAAGCTCATCACTGAATGAATTCATCAAGATTAACATTTTTGTTTGTGCTTATCTTTCCTTTTCTCATCAACCCAACAAGATCACCAAAAATAACAGAGAACTGAACAGGGAAGGAAAAAACTCCCAGCAAAAGAATAAGCTTTTTGAATAATTTACACTTTACTGTTTCAAGCTATTGAACGATTCTTTTTTTAGGCTTAAATTTTCTTCTTTTAACCAAAAGGCAATAATCAAGGTTAAACAATTGACAAAAGTTCTGTCAACTATCATTGATGAGTAAACATGCTAATGAATGCTTGTCGATTGCAGGGTAAAGATAAAATTTGTAAACTTCGAGCATCGAATGTGTTTACTTTTCTTCTTATTAAACTTGTTCCTCTTCATTGCATTTCGAGTAAACTTTTCACTCTTTTCCTTCCTCCATTTCAATTCTTATTCCATGTTAACATGATTCATCTAAATTGAACATGGAACTTGGTTGATTCTCGATTTTTTGCCCTTTAACTTTCGAGATTTCTTTTCACTGAATCAGCACAAAGGTGAGAAGAAAACTGAATACAAAAAAAACAGATAACATTGTTAAAGAGGTGTTTGTTTTTATTTCAGGGTAAATTGTTCTGAGGAGAGAAAAGAAATTGTGACAAAACTTTTTTTTTCGTCTTTTCTCTTGATTCTTCCCTGAGTTCAATCAGATTAATGTTTAAACCGCATTCATTGATTTTCCAAGTGTTAAACTGTTTTCTCCAAATTTTTCACTGTTGGTATTGTATAAAGTTGTTTGCATGGGTTAAGCAGGGAGTAAAGCTTAACCACTCAAATGAGATTATCATGAAGAGTGAGAGAGAAAAAACAAACTTTTTCTTTATTCCTTTTTGCACTTGAGTTACTATTTGCTTTTGGCTAATAGAAACAAATTTCATTTCCAACAACTTCAAGGTAATGATAATTATGATGATGAGGTAAACTGAATCTTTATCATCACAAATAAACGAAACATGGAAAATAATTGCAACTCTTGATTTTCCTTTTCATGTTCAGTGTTGGAATAAACTTGTCGAATAAGAATATTGAAAAGGTTAAATCTCTTGAAACGAACAGAAAGTTGCAAAGAAAATATTCAAGAAGCTTCCATAATCTCAGTTTATTCATTATTTCCATCAAATGATTTTCTGAAAATGTTGTAAACTTTGAGTTTAGAAGGAAAAAATGACTGTATGACGAAACCACCTGTTAGAACTTTTTTTCTTTGCAAAATTTCGATAATTAATTTTCTAAAATTTCATCAATTTTCAGTGTTTATTCTGGTTTTCTTTGAAATTGAACTGAACGTCAAAGAATATAAAGTTATGAGAAGAAAAAAGCAAAATCGCTCTTCAAACTATTCCTTTGGAGAAGCAAACAAATCAAGGTAAAATTGTTATTGAATAACATTCCAATGTTACAGTTGACAGGGTTGCATAAACATGGTTACCATGAAAAAAAAGGTAAACGTAAAAATGAATAATATGAAGAGGGAAAGAAGAGAAAAAGAGGTTTACACGAAAACATGATAATAATGTAAGTGAATAGAGAATAAGAAAGCTAAACAATGAGGTAGAATGAAAAGAAGAGAAAAAGATGAACCAAAAGAAATATCATCTTTCATTTGAAACCTTTTACATGATTACATGAGAAAAAGTGTAGCAAACGAATGAGAACAAAATGAACCAAAAAAAGAGTTAGAAGAGTAAAAAATGAACTTTTCAGTGAACATTATTTAGTGCTTTTTCAAGTGTTTGTTGAGGTGCCAGTGAACGAACTAAACGAGCTTCAAGTTGCATAAGTCAGACGAGAACAGAAGCCTAACAGAGCATAAAAATGTGACCCAAAAGGCTTACTCTTAGCATCAACTTTACATCGACTTGTGGTTGTGTTACCGTTTAATGTTACAGGTTGCTCATGAGAAAAGGAGAAAAAAGAAAAAAAAGTTTTGTTCTTTTTTCTCTTCAATGAAAATTGAAGAGTTTTCTCTTCTCATTCCCAGTCACAATGACAAGTGAGTAAAAAAAGATAAACCTTGAACTATTAACATGATGAGATGCAATAGGAAACGGAAATCTCTTCGTTTTGTGTTTTCTCTTTTTTTACGATTTTTCGTATTCTTTGCTTGCTTCTTACTTTTTGCCTGATGAAAAACATAATTACTTTGATACTTTGATATTGAAACAATTTCCTTTCTCGTAATAATAACATGGTTTTGACTGTTTGCGAAAGAAGGAAAAGCGAGAGGAAAAAAAGAAGAAAAGGAATAAAGAACAAAAATTGCAATTCCATGAGATAATCTTTAACATCATTATATTCATGGAAACGTTTTTTCTTCTCTTCTTTTCTTCTGTTGTTTTGTTTTTGCGAGCTTTGCGTTGCTTCGTTTTTATACACTTTTACCTTTCACGATTCATCAATCAAATTTACATGCACAAGAGATAATTTGAGTAAACACTTTTTCCTCTGCAAAATGTTGAAACATTTTATCATATTTACTGACGCACAAAACATTGAAAGGTTGAATAGCAGTTCTTATTCAATCAGGTTAACTTTGATTTGGAGGAGAAGAAAAAAGAAGAAGCAAAATTTGGACAAAATTCATTTCAATTCAACCATTCCTGCCTTCTTTTTGGCTGTTGGATTCAACAAGATTTCGTGTGATTGCATTATTCCAATCGAAGCTTACTATTGTATTGAACTGTTCACAAAAATTTGAGCCAAAATGTGTAAACTTGATTGAATGTGAAAGAGCTTGACTTGGCAAAAGTTAATCAAATCTAGTAAACATTTACATTGTTAGTCTAACTGCATTTGTAGCCTTTTTTGATGGAAAAAAATTGAAAGTGAATTTTTGGATGAACAGAAAATTGAATAAAGGTAAAAGTGACCGATGCAACTCACCAAGTTTTGAATTTCTCGCAAATGAGGCAATCGACATTCAGTTAGATCAGGTTCCTCCCAGTGACCCATTGAATAGCAAGCTCGGTAAGCTGTACCAGTGTAGGGTAAAGGACAAGGTTTACTTGCCATTACAGAGGCATCTACGGTTTCCCATTCAATGGAGTTGGACTGTGAAGGTTGACATTGACGTCGATTGGAAACGAGGTAAACATCACTTTCACCGTCTTCCTCTTCCTCACCTTCGGTTTGAACTTGCAGTTCGCTCTTTACTCGCTCATCTTGTCCAGTCTTCGTCTCATTATCATCTCTACTACTCACTACAAGTGTTTCATTTGCTACTCTGGACAGAGATGAGTTTTCTTGGAGTAAAGACGAATTGTTTACTGTTGTCTCGTAAGTTGTACTTTCACTTGGAGTTGTATCATTATTCAAGATTAAAGTTGATTTTGAACTCGTCGGGTATTCCAATGGTGTTAATGTTGTTGAAGGTTGCTCGACCAAGGAATGAGTCGAGTTTTGCGTTTCAATTTCACTTTCATTGAAAGTACTATTTGATTGAATTATTTCTATTGGAACTAAAGATTCATTTTTTTCTGGTGTTGCTAATGTTTGCGATGTTGATTCAAATGTGAATGTTGTGGTTGTTGCTGTTGTTGTTGTTACTGCTGTTGTTGTTGTTACTCTTGAGGCTGTTGAGGCTGATGCTTCGGTTGTTGCGTTTGTCAATTGATCAACTTTGTCAATTGAAATTGAATTGTTGATTGAAAGAGATAAATCAATTCCTGTGAGTGAACTTGTGTCAATCAGTGTTATACAATAGAAAATTAGATAATGAGTAAATGACATGTTTAATTGTTTATTAATTAATGATGAATGATGAACATTGATGAGGATAATGAATGAGTAAAGATTAAAGTTGAATGATTATCGACAACATTTATCAACATGCAAACACAGAGAAGGAAATGCACAGTGAAACAGGATGAAATGATCAGTGAATGGAGTGAACAACACAAGTGAAAACTGAATACAAGTTTAGCTCAATCTCACTCCCAGAAAAGTGCGCAAAATCCTGAATAAAAATAGCGAGATGATCAGAAACTTATTTTCACAGAAAAAGAAAATTCGATTCAAGTTTGACCGAAAATCATGTTCAGATTGCTCAGAATGCATCATGAAAAATCTCAAGAAAATTAAGACTCAATAAAATCTAGAAGAATTTTCTTCAAAAATATTTTTCGAAATGAACTTTGCATAACTTGAACAATTTCAAATATCGAGATATTTCGCATTGAAGTTTTCTTGCCCATAAACAACACTCCGTAAACGAAATCGGATAAAATCTCTTTTCTAATTTTCTCAAAAATAATTTGCAAAAGTTCGATTCGTTTTATTCGTTGGGAAGAGTTTTTGTGTTTTCTTATTTTCGAATATTTTGTTCGTGGAATACTTTTTCAGACAATTTTTTCTCAAAAAATTTTTAGAAATTTTTATTAAAATATAAATCTGTAGAATCATGAAATGAAATGATTTACATGGTTTGAATGACGAATTCTTGGTTAGAACATTTGTCTCGTTTATTTGGTTTGACGTGAAGTTTATGCATTTGAAAAGGAATGATAGCTTTTCTGTGTTATTATTGAAATGTCCATGTTGGTGTCACAAGTTGAACTTGCATGATTATCATGGTGACTCAATAAGAGTTTATCATTGGTTGAAGGTGATGAGTTTGACCTGAAAGTGTCACAATAGGGTTGACTGTTTGATGAGCAATTGGCTGAATTTTGTTTTCCATGGGAATTATTGGTATTCACTTTGATGATGCCATTTGATTTGAAGCTTCTTCCATCATCACGCATCTTTTGGTCACTCTGGACTGTTGTCTGGTCAAGTTGCTGTTTTACCTCTTTTTCTTTGTTATCACAATTATTTTCATGTTTATACAGATTTGTTTGCTTCTCATCAAATGGATGCTCATTTCCATTATCCAGGGTAATATCATTATCAATAGGATCACTAATCATCATCATCATCATCATTCTTGTAATGCCCTTTTCAGTAGAGATTTTATCAGCTGGTAACTTGGATAAATCACAGGCAGAAGTAGTTGGATTAGAGGATTGTTTCTGATAAACAGCAACATCAACAACTTTACCATTCTCATTTTCAGTCTCATTATTTTTATCGTTTGGTGAAGCACAAGGTTTACTGGTAATAGAAGATGATGATGAAGGTGAATCTGTTGTTGTTGTTTCAGATGAAGATGATGATGGTGAAGTAACAAGGCCAGTGATAACATCAAGAGGTAATTCAATGTCCACTTGAACAATTCTCTGGGAAACCAAATTATTCGAACTGTCAAGTTCAGTGTTTTCACTGGCTGGTAAAATGTAACCTGAACGTTTACAGGTTAAATCAAGGTCGACATAAGTTGGTAAAAGAGAGGATGATGAAGATGGAAAAGAGGATGAGTTTGTTGGTGAAAATGGGAATCCAGAAGAAGATGATGATGATGGCAATGGTGAGGATAAGGAGGCTATATTTTGCCTCTTGAAGCGATCCTTTTCTCTTTTCCAGTAACCACTTTTTTTCCTGCTAATATTCATCCAATCTTGTGAAGATACCTCTGTGGAGACCAAGGCATGTTCATCCAAACATGCAACCGTACTTGCTGTTACCTCTACCGTTGAAGTAACCCTTGTAGTTGTGGGTGTCGACGATGGTAAACCAGTTTGAATCGAAGTTTCATTTGTCTCTATTTCATCCAAGTTTTGATAATTTCGATACGAACTTCGATAAGAATCTTCAATTGGAACACAGATGGATCCATCTGAACAGTCATGTTTTGATGAGTCATGTTTATCCAAATATTTATTGACATTGATCAACTTGCCTGCATCATCAGTTACATTGTAGTTGCCATAACCTTGACTTGAAGAGTTGACAGTCAAACCTGACTGTGTAACCACATTGGCCTCACTTGAGGTTGCCATTGGTAGGGAAGGAAAGGAACACTTGAGTGAACCAAACAATGGCAAGTCACTTTGCAGTCCAAGATGCTTACGTACTGTGCATAAAGTGGCTCCTAATCGTTTATGCTTTGACCTAAGAGCCTTGCACCTTTTCCCATCACTGTGATCATGATCACGCCAGGTTACAAGTTTAACGGATAAAAATTTTCTGTTGCAAAACGAGAAAAAAAAGTTGAATTTTTCTCTTTCTACCGAACTTTTTTTCCCTTCTTTTCATTCCAAAACTTTTTTCTCCTTTTCTTTACAAAATTTTTAATGGTACAAGTAGAAAAAATGATAATAATGTTGTTTAACCTAATGATGTATATTTACCATTATAATCTGGTTCAATGGAATTGAATTCTTAAATTGTTCACAACATTAACATTGTTCCCTGTTACTTTTATCATTGAACAGTTTTCCATTCTTTACACACTTTCTTACACACAGATATATTCCGTGACTGATTACAACTGATTATTGTTAATGTTTTACCAATGGATAATGGCATTTACTACAATTGAGTAAATAACTCATTAACAGGTTCATTTAATTAAGTTTGCCAGCAGAAAAGAATTGAAAAGTAAAGTGGAAAACAGTTTAAAAATGGTAAAAATAAGAAATCAAGTTAAATTTAGTAAAAGCAAAAAGCCATTTAATATTTGACTTTTGAGAAAAGAGAAAAGAATTGAAAGAAAGAAAAAAGTAAAATTGCAAAGTTGCAGGTAAAACTTTTTCTGTAATACAAACCTTTTTAAAAGCAATGCAATCAAAAGTATTATTATCATGGAAAGAGCGCAAAGTATTATGATAATCATGCTTGTGATGACATTACCATTTCCAGATTTGACTAAATCCAATTGACTTTTGACAAATGTTTCAGAGGATAACCAATCTGATGAGGAGAGAGAAAAAAATGAAATGAAAAAGGTAAGGTTGATGAAAAAGTGAAGAGCAAAAGAAGAAAAAAAGTTTAAATAAAGTGTAGTTGATGGCATTTAAATATCATTTCAAAATGAAAAGTAAATCAAGTTTATCGTTTAACTGGGAGTGAATATTTTTACTCCCAGTCAAAGTTTGATAAATATCGTTGATAACATTGATTGATTCAATATTGCAAATGGAATGTGAAATTTTATCTTTTCCTTTTTTTCGTTTGCATGTGTCACTCTTTCATGAGGCATTAATTGTTAACCAATCAAAATGAAACCAATTGAATCGTGATAATGATGAAGAGCATGAAGAGGAAAAAGAAAGGTGAAATGGGAAGAGAAAAGACAAAATAATAATGTAGAAAAAGAGAAAAGAAGAATTCATTAGGAAATAATAGTTTCACCCTTAAGGTGTAATCTTGACTTGGGTTTTAATGAGAGAGTTAACCAAGCCAAGAATACATGTTGCTCGGAGCAAATGGAGAAAGCTAAGCATTTTAGTGTGTTGAGATTAATATCTTGAAATACAAGGCTAAGTCTTGAACAAGCACAGGGAGTGAAGAATAGCAATGATGGAGAAAAAAAAGTCAAATAAGAGAATCAGGCGAGAGAAAAAAAAGAGTAACAAGAACAATCATTCTCAGCAAATAATGATGATAATGTAAAGTAATATTTTACTGTTTATTGTTACTCCAAGAAAATGTATTATTCGTTGTATTTTAACCGCCACTTAATCAACTTTTGGGAGAGAAAATCGTTGCAACGAAAAGGAGAAAAAAATGGAAATGAAAATTTTCAACAAAAAAATGTTATTCCATTGGCAAATTGATGTCATTTATTTTCATTGGAAATTCAATGAATATCTTTACTTTTGGAAACAACATTTGGTCAACATTTGCAGCGAAAATTTAATTTGACAAAATTTGGAAACAAAAGTTTTCCTTTTCTCTTGCAACTCTAATTGGATATTTGTTTTGTTCAAACTCGGAGAGAACTTTTGTTCAAGAGAGAAAAAATGAATTTAAATTCATCATTATCATTGTAATCATTTTCATGATTGTCATTAAAGTTTTGTTAATCATTTGATTGAAAAAAAGGTTGGAATGATTAATGGAAAAGTCGACTTTTTCCTTTACTTTGGCTTTCTAGCCAACATTTTATAACATTATTGCAGACGAGTTTTTCGTCTAATAATTTCATTCCATGTTCAGATAGAAACATTTTCTTTCAATTTTTCACCATTTTTCAGCTCGACATTTTGTTCATTTTTTACTTCTTTGACTTTACGAGACAAAAAAAGTATTTAATTTCAAAGCTTTATAATGGCAATTGTTTGTCTCTTTTGTTATAATATCAGGTTTGCAAGTTCAATTATCATTTCAATATTTAATTGAAACAGAAAACATATTTTACTCCATTCTGTAATCATTAATCATTGCTGAATTTGAACTTTTTTCCTGTCGAAAAGATGATAAAAGAAAATGATGAAAATTTCAATTTGCAACTTTACAGTTGAACCAGTTGTTCATTTACTATCGATCATTCGACGAATCATATCAACATTAACAGTTTGATTGCTAACAATATTATTAGTTGAAACAGAATACTTTCAATGAATATTTCGAAACATGTAATCAGACCAATGGTATTGAGCAATGAATGTTATCAGATATGAATTTCAATATTATTCATATTTGTCTGTATTTAGATGAAATATCTAATTTCAATTGAACAAGAATTTTGGTTTTTCTCATTAAATTCATCAGCGAATGAGAAAAAAAGCAATTCAAACAAAGGACCGAAACTGTCAAGATATGGAAAAGGTTGACAAAGGAAAAGCTCTCAAGACTATTTGCTCAATCAACTGGTTTTGATTATCTAATAACAGGGATTGGAACAATTTCCAACTGGATATTAACACTTGCAACTCGATATTTTGCTTCACCATTAGCTCGAGGCTTCTTTTTTTGGGTCGCAATAACGACAAACAAATAGAGAGTAAAGAGAAGGAAGAAAAAAAAGGTGAAAAGAATTGAGCAGATCAAGGGTAAGATCTGAGGAAGAGGAAGAAAAAAGCAGAGAAACAAATAGAACTGAACAATATTCTGATTGTTAGTGTATTGACTCAGAGTATTGACAAATTAGGAATACAAATGAAGTTAATTTCCTGGAGGTTAAATCATTCCCATTCGTTTAGTTATTATCGTTAACACTATTAATTAGAATGATTTCAAGTTAAGTTGTGTTCAATATTATCTTTGCAGTTTGCAAGAGACAATTGGAAAACAAATGGAAATCGAAAAAAAAGAGTCGAGAAAATGTTTATTGGTTCATCAGTCGAGTTTGCACTTTTTCCATGATTGAACTTTTCCGTTGAAAGAAAAATGTTGGTCAAGAAAATGTTGCCTTTTGTTTAGTCTAACAATTGATTACCTTGTTTATTGCATGAAATGTATGCTTGTGACCAGAGTCCATCTTGTTGGCAGACTATAGTTACTTCTGTTTCAGGTAATCCTTGATCATTTAGGCATTCAAGTAAAGCCATGGAACCAAATCGAGTTGTCCCATTGAGAAGGATAAATCGACTCAATTCGGGAACAATATTTTTGGGTAATCCACAGTCAATGGCTGAAGAAGACAAGTTGAATAAAGGAATAAAAAGAAGGAAAGAAAAAGCAAAGAAACTTTTTATTATGTAATGTTATGTCAAAGTTGAGTTGAATCAGCAGTTAAATTGCAAGTTGAAAGACTACTTGTAACGATAAATGTAAATATTAGGAAGAGCAATAAATGTCTATTTGAAAATGCTGTTATTCTTGAAATGTTTATTAGCATCAAATCAACTCTAGTCATCAAATTAACCACCATTTCAGATGGATTGGTTAAACTGTTTTCCGTTAAATTGATATCCATTCAATAAAACAAAATAATAATGCTAAACAACTCGACAGTTTATCAACTTTTACAATCCAAAGTTGAATAATAATCTAAACGTTGCAACAATCATTCAATGGATTTCATTGGAAATGACATTTTCTCATCAAGTTTATTAACTTTGTTAGGATCGAATCCACTTTCGTCTCAAACCAGAAGATGATCAATAAGAAATGGAACCGAGTCAAGTGTAAAATGTCGATCAACAAAAGACATTGACTATTGAGCAAATTAAATGGTCTAAAGTTTGAAATCTGTGCTCGAATGAGAAGGAAATCTTTAATTTTCTTGTAATCTTTCTTATGAAGTTGATTATGAATGGAAAGCAAATTAGTCTCATGTTATTTGAACACAGTTTATATCAGTTGAAATCTTGGCTTTCTATTGTCTTTGTCTCGATACACCAAACACTCGTCTTTAAACTTACCGATACATTGAGGAGTTGAGCTCGACCATTTACCAGTTGATAAACACACGAGACGATTCTCACCCACAACCTGGAAACCGGAATCGCAATGGAAATATGCTTGACTGAGTATTGTCGCTTGTCTATTTTCATTCAGTCCACTTAGAACCATCCTGCTATTCAACGGAGCTTCCAACTCTTTGCAGGTAACCTCTTGAAATATGAAAGGAAATCAGCAAAAGAATCAAATTAAAATCTCAACAATCAGTAGGATTCACCAGTTTGCAGTTAAAGCAAAAATTGAATCCAATTTACTTTTCATCCTTTCCCAATCCCAAGAAGTCAAGAGTTTTCATCGAGTCTTGGGAATGCTCTAAGTGTATAAAGTGGCAATAATTTGAAACTGGCAATTTCCATTGATTTGGAAAGAAACTTTTTTCTCAACTTTTCACCAAACTCTTTAGCAAATCAATCATCATAGAAAAGGAATCAACTAATTGAATAAAGTTTCCGTTTTCATTCATGAAATTGATAAATACTATCATGACTTTTAACAACAATATATTGATATAATGAGCCAAATGGATAATCAGATTTTTTTCTTTTCTCTTCATGAAAAGGAACCAAAAAGAAGAAGAAAAAGTGAAACAAAATTTCATGGAGAAAAACCAAGTAAAAGGAAGAGAGAGAAAAAAAGAAATTCTGTTAATAGTATCAATTGAATCGAGTTAATGAATCAAAGAATCATTGTTAGTTAAATTTCGTTTCTCTCACTAATTTACATTCTAATGACAATTAATCAATTTGGGCGTGTTACTAATGTATAAGTGTGCTGGTTAAGAAGTAAAAGTTGAATGGGAAGAAGAAGAAGAAGAAAAGAAAAGGTTTCAAGTTAAATTTAATAGTTTCATTAAAAGACTCTAATTAAAGTTAGTAAATCATTAAAGATTAAGATGATGAGGTAAAGAGGATGGATAGAGAAGAGAGAGAAAAAAAAGTTTGCAAACTTTTCTCTTCTTTCCAAGTTAACCATTAAGTATTATTAAAACTGAGGTTATAATGAACATAATTAATCAACTCAAAGAAGTGAATCTGCTTTAACTGTTTCACTCCTTTTTTGTGCTTCCCTGATTAACTTGATTATTGTAATTATCCAATTTGAGTGTGCAACGAAAAAATGTTGTTTAATTGCACACAAAATGTTCACTTTATAATATTCGCATTTGTTTTTCATGGAACAACTTTTTCTCTTCTTTTTTTCCTCTTTCCATCAAAATTGAAATTGATCAACATTGGCTTAATTACACTGGTTCTGCACACAGTAATGGACAATTGTCAATGATCATGTAACAGTAAATTAAATCAGTTGTATTGGTTGATTTGGAAGAGTTCAATTCTAATTTATTGGGAGGTTGGAATCGAGTTTTGTCGAGTTATAAAGTTTTTTTTCTTCTTTTCCCTTTCAACTTGTTCTTTGCGTTTCAATGCTTTTTGTTTGCTTTTTGTCTTGTTTCTTGTCTGTCTTGTTATTATAATATATTTCATTTGCTATTCTGTATTTAATGTTCCCATTGAATTAAATTGACTTCGTCTATGTGAATGTTATAAAACCATGAAAAGGAGGAGAAATGGTTTGGTACAAGTGGACTTCATGATGGGCCAGTTTTACAAATGATAACTAACAATCAGTTTATCAACTGGGAGTGAAGTACAAAAAAAGAAGATCCAATGATAATGTTGCTTTTAATCATTTGGAAACTTGCCAGTTGCACTAATGATAACTATTGAGTTGAGAAATGGAAATGACTTCAAAGTTGAGGGTAATTAAGAAGAGACCTTTTTTCAGGATAATGACTCTTTACCTTTGCAAACGGCTTGACCCTTAGACCAGAAGCCATCGTTTTGGCAATGTCGTTCGGCAGGTCCTTCAAGCAGGTAACCATCTTTACATTGATACTGAACAACATTGTTTTTGTGAGTTTCTATTGGAAGGGAATTTAAAGGTTTCTCAGGTTCGCCGCATTCATATTTGTCTGAAAGAAAAGCATTTTCATTAGTTACGAGAAAAGAACAATTTAAGAATAATGAAATCGTTATTCTCTTTTACTGTATATGAAGTTGTATTTCATTAGCCATTAAGATTTTGTTTGAATTGGATTCTTAGAACTTAAAAAATGGTTCGACAGGAAATTCTTCCATTTTACTTCCAATTTAGAATTACATTTTTTTCGAATAATAAATATCGCATTTTCAATATTTTTTGCTCTCAAAATTAAATAAAACTTCTCGAGCCAAATCGTTCAGCTAAGTTTCACCTTTTTCATGTTATTTTGCTTGCACAGTTTGAATCCCAGACAAGCTACCAAGCTACCAAGCACAACCTAACTGGGCTGACTTACTGCATCAATATACACATCTCTGACTGTTACGGACTTTTAAACTCCAAATGCTAGCTACCTTTACAAGTTAATGCAATAAAGATCAATTTCAGTTTCCTTTCCAATCCATGTGTCTGATTCAGTTCAGATAACGGATTCTACATTTTCAATATTGTATTCGATTAGAAAATATAATTGAAATTTTCGAGCCAAATCGACTGGTTTTTGTGTCACTTTTTTCTCTTATTTTGCTTAAGCAGTCAGAGTCCGGCTCAAGTTATCAAGTACAACCTAACTGGGCTTACTCACTGCATCAATATACACATCCCTGACTGTTACGGACTTTTAAACTCCAAACTTTATTTATGCAACTTCTAGTAGCAGTAAATTTGAAACCTTTTTGATTGTCTTTGAAAGTACTTGGATGTCAAGTGAATAGAGGCATGACTAATAGTCACTGACTCGAGTGGAAATTAACTCATTAAAATCAACGATAATAGCTTAAAGGTGATTCATTTGATTCACATCATTGATTCATTTTTTGAAGAAAAATAACAAACGAAAATGGCAAACTTTTTACTTTTCCCATGAAAACTTTATCAAATATTAACATTGCACCATGAAAAGTCTCAACAGTTGTACATTTTCACCCCAAAATGAATCTTTCAAAAGCAGAATTCCAAAAAATTCTTACCTCTTTCAGTGGTTACTTTGACCTCACACAATCCAAAGTATTCATAAGCAGATGAATCATCTTGAATGGTCAAATAGCGACCCTCAACTCCTTCTGTGCAAACAATCAGTTGAGTTTGTGTAGCTTTGAACAAAAAAGAAGAGGAAAAAAAGGTCAAAATATCATGATACTTGTTAATGCGAGTTTCTCTGTTTGCTAATTATTATAATAGAATCCGGGAAAAAAAATCTTTTCCAATGAACCATGTTAATGATTTAATAATAAGCACAGAATTATTGTTAACAAGGTTAACCTGCGTGTAAATTGATTATGTTAAGCTAAACAACAACAAAGCTGCATTAATTTTGAGTAAACAAGCCATTCACCACTTCGTGTGTTCAAAGGGGTTAATCAGAGTTTACTGAAAGGCAATTGATTAATCAACAATCATGATGAAACCTATTTACATTCAGGATGAACAGAAAAGTTGAAATGTTTTTTTTCGTCAAAAGTTTCATTTCATTTGTAAAGTGATTATAAAATGAATTTGGGTTAAAACATGAAAAAATGAGATTAAATTTCATTCCAATTTGTATTATGCTATGATGAATTTTTCATGAATTTTAATTTGCTGTTGGTTTTGCAACTTGTTTTGCCTTTAAATTTTTATCTTTAAAAGTTCATTCTGTTTAGACTCTTCATTGCCTCTAATGAATATGATAATTCTAATTAAATTCAAATTTATCAAGGTTTTGAGAGAAAATTTTTCTTTTCTTTTTTTCTGGATTTCGCTCAGAATCGATATATTCTGTTAAATGATATTTTTCGCATTCATATTGTTCTTTATTACATTGTATTGCCTTCACTTGCCTGGTCAATTCATCTTGTTGATTTATGTTTTCTTCTTGTTCTTCCTCATGCAATAAATGGGTAAACATTAATTTACTCACCAAACATCCCATGAAATGATGAACATCGAGTTCGATTTGAACTTGCAATTGAATTATTGCTTGATAATGTTGACATGAATATGGTGAAATGATGTTCCGAACCTGGATTTTATATGCAAAAGAGAAATGTAAATGGTTCATTAGTCAGTTTAGTTTGCAGGGAAGGTTTACACCGAAATGAAAGCCAACATTATCATTCAATTTATTCATTAGTGAAATTGAAAAATTTTTGCTTTTCTTTCCATTCCTAATCTGTCTTTAATGTTGAAACAAAATGCGAATAAAATTTCATTTCTTTTATCAGATTGAAAAATGATGGGATGATAAGCCACAAAATGGGAAAATCCTAATGAATATAATCTTTTACTTACCAACTATGATGATTCAATATAATAGATTAGATTAATCTCGGTGTTAATGAGCTTAACATTTTTGAATAATCTTTTTAAATCATTTCAATCGTTTAATTCAGTTTTCTTTCCAGTTCAGTCTTTTTTCCGATAAAATATATTATATATAAATCATGATGCGGATAAAGATTCAGAGTACCTGTAAAACTTTCAACATTTAAACTTTCTGTACATAGTTTGGGCGACCGTGCTGATTACTAGCAGAAAGCTCATTATGCGGATGAATCGTCATAAAGACAGAAATTGACGGACAGAACAAGACAGAGTTCATCCATGAACATTTTTAGTTCAATGTAGTCAAACCGTTTAGTTCATTTTTTACCTGTTCTGATCAACAGATACTTACCATCACTTTATGTTCTGGATGATATTCAGTCAATATAGTTCCTAAAATTGCATAGCTATAAATCCAAAGTCTAAAGGACATTCAAGGTCATTCAATTATTTGACTTCTAGCTGACTTTTGAATGTCAATTTCTTAAAGTTAAACTTTTTCACATCGGTTGATATTTGTTATTAATATATATCGATAACTCATATCGTTGGGACAATAAACGAATTTACACCAAAAAGCATTCATTAACTGGACAGTAAATAAACACTCATATGTTTTAACTCACATGAGTTATCAAAATGTAACAAACATCAACCGATGTGAAAAAGTTTAACTTCAAGAAATTGAAATACAAAAGTCAGCTAGAAGTCAAATAACTAAATGACCTTGAATGTCCTTGATGCTCTGTATATATAGTTTTGCGCTTTTGAGAACTATACTGACTGATTATTTTGGTGATCGGCCTTCTGGCTCAAAAGTTAGGAGCACAAACGACCGTCAAGGATAAAATAAACGTATTCAGAAGTTCATAACCCATATCAGGAAGATCGAATATATTTACTCTTTAGATCTTCGTTGAGCACATGCACTTTCGGTATATTTTTTGATGACGATATTTTTGTATGATGATAGTTAATTGTTTCCCAGGAATCTTTTTAAAACACCGATCATATTATTTGAACCTCGTAGTTTAAAATTCATTATTTGGGCTTCGTAGTTTAAAATTCATTTTTAACAAAATTTTATTAGTAGTTTAGCGGCGGCCATGTCGCTGTTACGCAACTACATTTTTGTATTTAATTCATTTCCATAGTTAAAAGTTAGACTTGGTTACATTTTCAAAGGGAGGAAGGATAGAAGAGAGAGAGAAAGAGAGGAGAAACCAATAGAACCAGAGAGAGATCCTGGGGTTACATATGTCATTGCCGAAACCCTTAACCACAGGGCTGAAGCTTCACAGACTAATATGAAAACCATTTTTCGTTAATAACAATTTTTGCATTAGAATAACTACACGCTGCGTGTTGAAACCATATTCGATATCGCCGAATCTTTTTATTTCATGATAAATCATATCATCTTATACCCGAGTAATAATTAACATTATTAAGCGTCAACTGAAATCAAATCAAGTGTCTAATATTTTGTTCCTGAGTTGACCAAGAATTTTTATATTTCAATAACTGGATTCATCAGGATGGGGCAACACCTAACTGTACTATTAATTGAATTTTCTTCAATCACCTTCATCCTGGCTCGATCCATTTGATTTTCATCTATGGGGTCCAGTCTTACGTTTGACTTCCATTTGACCTCTACAAGGTTATTTTCTAAAGTATCGAATTTTTTTTATCGGTTGGTACTTCTGTCAGATCGCACACTCATAAAGATCTAGCACATAGTATTCAAACCTTTACTATCCCTTATTCAAACAAGTTCGTGCAATATACCAAGCAGTGTGTAGATTTGTCAGTTTCAGTGACCTTGAAATGTCGTTCAGAGGTCAAATGGCTTAATGATATCTTGAAAAACGTTTTTAACCGAAATTTAAAGCAGATGAGTTTTTGAAAGTCCATGATTCAACCCTGAGATTTACACCATTAGGAGTTCGTGATTTTTGACCGCGAACAGCGGAAAAATGAAAAAAATGCCCTTTTAGCAAGTCCCATTTCAATATGCCATTAAAAGGATTTGATGAGAATACACTCACTTTATGAAAAATCTTGATATCAGAGCAAAAAATCGTTTGATATGAGAAATATTTCAGTTCTTTTGAATTTCACTGTCAGTTTTCTATATCAGAATGCAATGCAAAATAAATCGAGGGTATTTACTAATTTTTGTTTCGAGACAATCGGAAAAACTTGTCTAAAGCTTTTCTGTTCACTTTCACAAGTTGACCGAAAACAGAAAATGAAAGACAATTTCAAGTTGCAATCCAATAAATTGTGATAATCTCGAGATGAAAATTGACTAGACAATTTTTCACCTGATTGAGTGAGGAATGAAAGAAATGAAAAGAGAAAAATTCAATTCAATTTTCTCATTGTGTTGGTGCCATCATTGACATTGAATTAACAGCAAAGACAACAAGATTGAGTGCAGTGATAATGAACAGCAAAATGAGAAGAAAGGTGTTGAAGATTTAGATGACAGACAGAAACATGGAAAAGTTGTAATGAAAAATAAAAATAAACTCGAAGAATGAATGGAAGCTGAAGGGAGGAGAAAAAAAGTTATCCTGAGTTTGGACTTTTTTTGTTCTCCTTTACCATTTCTCTCTCTTTTTTGTCTTCACTTGTTCATGAATCTTCAAGTTAACGTTTGCTTTCGTGTGACACATTTAGGGTAAAGGGAATAGATGTGAAAGAAGATGAAGACAAATTGGATGATAACTTGTTCCATATTCATTGGACGAAATTTCTTTTCATATCATCCTAATCATCATCAAATCTTGATGATTCTTTGTATTGAAAAGGTTGACACAGAAAACAAGAACGGAGAAAAAATTCAGAGACGAAAGGATAAAGACCCAAGTGTCCAACAAGGAATTTTGTAGTTACGAACATGATGGATGTAAAATGCTATCCTGAATCCATTTTTCGAAATAATGTCAAATTTCGAAATTCTCGAAGTTCGAAATCAGATAAATTCGTTTATTAATGATGGATTTAGTTACTTGAATTGTTATTCGCGTTTCCATGTTTTTGAGCGTTTTTGTCATTCATTTCGAAAATGGAACTTTTAAAAATGGATTCAGTAAAAAATTTTACATGAGAACATGTTCATTAGAGAAATTCCTTGAAAGACAATTTATCCCATTCTTTTTGGTCTTTATCCTTTCGATTCTCTAGATGATAAGATGATAAAGGCAGATGAAAAGATGAAGAATGAGAAAAGTCAACAGAGTGTTTTGTTGAAAAAGGGAGCGTAAATAAGATGATGATGAAGAAGAGGAAGATCAATGATATGTGACAAGAAATTCTCATGATGATCAAGATGATGATGACCAAGGATTCCATTGAACCATGCTAATTGAATCAAACAAATTATTTGTACCGTTAGATTCAAAGTATATTGGTCTGTCATGAGGAAGAAAAGTGCCTATCTGTGTAATGGATTCTCATCTTTTCTTTGCTTCTCTTTTTTTCATCCTCATTTTCATTTTTCTTTCCTTTTCTGTATCAACTTGCAGTTAAGTATTAATGAAATGATGCTTTTACAAATAAAAGTGACACTGGTTTACAAGCTTTTTTCAAATGGTAAAAATCATCAAATGAACACAAATAGATTGAGGTTGATTAGTGGGATAAATGAAGGCACAGCAATTCAAATTCATGTTCAACTGAATAAACCAGTGAATAAAGTCGATCAAAATTCCATCAGTGATTATTTCCCAAAAATTTTCATGCAATGCTCAAATCTAAAGCTCACAGAAAAAGTATTGGGAATTGAATATTAGTAAATTTTAGCCTTTAAATAAAAAGATCACTTAAAGATCACAATTTCCTTTCATAACTTATTTTCTGAAGAGCAATTAGAACCAATTTCAATTCTGTATCTTGTTTCCATTATGAGATATTCATCCACTCCATCAAACTTGAACTTTACACGAATGTTAACGTCAACCTGTTTGTGCGCGATTCGTTAGCCTTCCTCAGTCAAATCGATTCCTCTCTAGACGAAAATTTCTTATCATAATATCAATTTATTGCTATTACTTCTTTAATAAAGTCTATGATTTAGTCGACTATATCAGTAGCTGTAAAACGTTGATCCAACTTATTGAGCTTACTGATCTCATGAGAACATTCAAAAGTCTATTATCTGAGGTTTAATTTACTAATCAAGTTGTTCCTGTCTACCCACGTTCCGATATCGACATAAAGTCTAAATGGATAAAATATCATTCCAAATGACATTTCATGTGAGTTGTTGAGCAAAATTGTTAAAAGATGAAAAATAAAGTAAACCTTTGAGTTGAAAATTAAGCAACCAAGAATGGATGTTAAATCTTGTAAGCTGTCTAAATAACTTACGATAATGTATTTTAAGATGATAATACTGATTATAGTGGTAAAGTTTTAGGAGTTGTAAAAAGTACAAGATTTAAGCCTTTTTTTCATTTCCCTTCCCTTCCATTCTACTCTTGTGTATTTATCATTATTCACTTCTATGCATCATGCTAATTATGTTGATTTCAAGACACACTCATGTAAGCTCACACACACACACATGGATCTAAAGCCAATTCCAGAACTCTACAGAACTCTAATACAAATGAACAAAAGTGTTTTTCCTTTTTTTCCTCCTCTTTTTTACTCCCTTTTTTATAGCCTCTGCAGTCTTGCACACGA